CCCACCTCCATACAGCTGTAGTTTGTTTGCTGGATGATGCTAACTAACCCTACAAGTTTAAATTTCAATGTCATCTGTCAAAAAACAAAAAGGGCTGGGTGAGGTGTGTGTGTGTGTGTGTGTGTGTGTGTGTGTGTGTGTGTGTGTGTGACTTTAAATAATAAGACTGATTTTCTAGTGTGGCCCATAAATCAGCTTGTTAGGCAATTTTGAAAAAATATCTGAGTAATAGGATAAACTTTTATACTTTAGAAACTGTTAGGCATTTGGGTTATAATAAGCCTTTTGTGTACGTGAGTCATTCCTCCATTATTTCTTGATTATAAACTTGGCAATGGGGAAGTGTACTAATTCTGTAATGGCCACCAAAGAATAACTTTTTATATATGTCCAGTGTACATGGAATATGGTCACCACTGTCCCTGTTTACAGAGCAGTTTGAATAAACAAGCTGAAAGTTTAATGTTTTTAAAAGTTTCTTATTTCTGTTAGTCGTGTTGCTCACTGAACCAGAATGCCTATGATTGTGACATACATTCTGTAATGACTACGTATGCATGTATGAGTAAGTCTTAAATACAATGCCATCTAAAGAAGTCTTTATCTATTCAGATGTGTATGAATTTATTAGATTATGAGCCTATATAATCTGTTGGGTTAGGAATCAAACCATATATCCTCATTAGGACATGTATATAATGACGATTAGAAGTTGTTTTCAGCAAATAAAATGACCAGGTTTTAGCATTCATTAAACACTTCATGGACACTTGAGAAATAGAACTTAAAATGTTCTCAGTTAAAATATAAAAATATTGATCATTAATTATTTTGTTAAGGTTCAAAACAGTTCTAAAAGGCTGTGAATCTTCACGATGCTTAGTCTCTATAGATTAGCCCTGAGCATTATATTCTCCTATTGGAACACTATCTTCTTTTTAATTTCATCTAAAGTCTTTTCATGTATCTTAAGTGAACTAGGAATATGTGAAGATCCAGGTGTTGCTTTCTTTCAAGAATGATAAAGGTCATTCAGGGAGGCTCAACAATTTATAAGTTTATGAGGTTACATGGGATAAAATTACTAAAATGCTATCTTTCCCCATCTTTGTTTCTGATACTTTAAATTAATAATCAAATTGAAAATGTTGAACTAAATGTATTCCTTATATATTCTCTCATATACTTCCTTATGCGTTCTTTGCATGGCCTTGTATAAATTAATGAAAAAATAAATGCCATACATGATTATTACCAATGATACACAGATGGGGTGAAAAGTCTAGAAACACAGGGAAAATGTTTTATCTATTGTGTTTTTTCAGATTAATAATTAGCTTAAATTTAGAAATGCTTTACCTACAAAAGAATGTGGGAAGTAAAGGAAACTATATCCACATCTTGATTTTATTTTTACTTCACACAGTGGAACTCAGCTGTTCATAATTAGATTAATTATAGTTCATGTTATTCTCTCATCATTTGTCTAGACATAGCCACTTTCTTTCATTTCTGAAATTATTAATTATTTATTTTTTCATAGTGGAATAATCATCCATAAATCCACTATCTAAAACAAAAACTAGGACTCCAACAACAGCCCGCATCCAACCCCTGGCTCCCCCACCAGTCCATCCCCCTCCTGCCTCCCACCCAAAGGATCCACCACCCAGGGTCTTACGTTCATTTTTAATTTGATCTCATTTTAGTGGTATGTAGATCAGTATAAAGTGATTAATCACAGAATGATATGCCTTACTTTGAGCTAATTTTTTTCTAACTCTTTTCTCACATCATTGTAGGTATGGTTCGTACTGTGATATGTAGTCCTTATAGCCACCATGTTCTCTTCCACTGTCCCCCCTCCCAAGGCAGAATGCCAGGGTGTGAGAGCCTATATTTACTATCAGCTCTCCAGTCATTCATTCTTCTTTACCCTAGAAACCTCATCTCATCCCAATTGATTTTTAAAATATCTAAAAGATTTTTATTGGCTATTTAGGTTTATAAATGGTTTTATTGTGTTAAAATATACAGTGTTATATGGACACATTTACAAACACACAGTCATTGGATTGCAAGGGCATCCAGAACTGGCCCAAGTGATTAAATATTTTTAAAGTCCATTCAATTAGATTTCTGGATTTTCCTGTTCCTTTCTTATAAGACATTAGTTAATTTAAATGCAAAGTCATGTGTAAGGTTATTCTTGTGCATCTGAAATGAATGACTAATGAATGTCCTTTAAATTTGGAAACAGTGAGGATAGGAGAGAAACCCTGCTGCAAAACTCCTCAGTCAGCAACAGCAAGGTAAGTGTGATGATGATTCATGGTATTTACTATCCTTTGTTAAGATACATGGACTTTTTAAGAGAAGAGTGAGAATAGTAGTAAAAACGAGGCAGGAACGTGCAAATGTGACCCTGAAACCTTCCTTCCTACCCCTCCTCAGTAACCTGAAGGGTAGCACCCAGTACAACAAAGTGAGTTTAAAAGGGTGGTATGCACTATTCATGGAATGGCAACTTTCATTCTGAATATAGATATTTAAAAGCATCAAGCATGTTTAAGAGGGCTTAGTTGAAACTCTATGTATTTCTGATTACAACAGTTGGTCACTATGAACCAATATAGACCTATTTTTCAAAATGATGTAGAATTGCCGAAGTTGCTAACCAGAAAATTCTTTCATAAACAGTGCAGTGTTTAACCTTTCCTTTCTTCACTTACTTTTAATTCCTATCCACTCCCAACTGGGTTGAAGTGTTTATATTTAAACAAAATACCCATTGGAACTCTGAAGAAATTGACTCACCCACTTTTTAAGTTGCAGGGTATTTTTTTTTTTTTTTTTTTACAATATACAATATGCATTATAATGTTATAAACATTTTAATTTCTTAAGGCTACTGAACTCTAGTGACCCTGAAAGGGACTTTTACAACTTATTGCTGCAAATATGACACTTAATCATAGAAGAAAAGAATGTTAAAATAGTTCAAGGATAAATTCATAGGTGGAGGAGTTGTCCTCAAGCATTAATGAGGCCATGAACTCATTTAGATATAACCTGTAAGCTTGAAGAAGTTATGAAATCACATAGTGATAAGGAACCTAACACCCTAACAAAGGTTAAGATCTACGGCCACTTTTTTTTTTTTCATTTGGGCCTAGAATTACATTTTCCCTTTCCTGCATGAACCAGCATAGGCCATTTCAAAGAGAAATGAGTGGAAGCGGAAAAACAGACGTTTAAGGCCAGCGCTGACCCAAGAAGCAGCACTTCCCATTTAAGATGCCAAAACAGAACTCATTCTTTTACTAGCAGTTAACACTCCTGAATCTCCTTCGATAGGACAGAGAAGTAGAGCCCAGGAAGAGACCGAGGTTAGAGAGTGCTGCCTCTGGTGACAAGAGAGATGCTTCTATTTCTTGCAAAAATTTCCCCGCCTCAGTCGCAGGCCTGATGAAAGCCGGAGCCTTCTACAAAGCGCCGGGGGCCCACCCCACCGCTCCGGATGGAGCACAATGGGCGGGCGTGGGCCCTGGGCTAGTTCCTCTTCTGCCCTTCCTGTCCGTGTTCCTCGAAGTGTTTGGGGAATCTGAGGTCCTAAAATTTCCTAAACTAGGAAAAACGATCCACTTCGCCCCAGGAGCGACTTCCTTTCCCCCCAGCTCTTAGCAGGGTGTTTGACCTTCTTGGTCAACTGCGTCCCCAGGGCCCCGCGCCAGCTGCGTCCCTGACCCCAGAATAAATCAGGGCCGCCCCGGGCCGGGCAGAGCTCCGCGCACATTTCCTGTCTCGGCCTAGGGGTAGCGGTTTGCAGCCGGGGCCCTGCTGGGGACTCT